TGTTCTTAAATAATACTGCATAACAGGAAACAACAATCAGAAAGTAGAACGCCAAAAAGCAGCCACAGAACTGGTTTTCAAGTAAATTAGACTATGAAATCAACTTGCACAAGAAAACCATGACTCTGAACTGCTGAAGAAACAGCACCATCTATCAGAAGAAATGAAACAGAGCACCTGGCAGTCTGGCTCTCCAACTCGCTCTGGATAATCTGCAGCTGCCAAGGAAACTGATCCCCCAACCTGGATTCCAAACGATAATCAATCTATTCATTTACGAAACCAAATCCCCAACAGCAGTCCTTAGTACATAAGACCAGGCCACTTCCTAATACATACACGCATATAAAGACACATACATGGTGGATATATTGATAGCTACCTACATGCATACCCTCATAAGAAAAAGTAAACGAAACAGATTGATAATGATAGAGACTGGAATTAGGAGACGAATAGATAGTATAAGAGCCATGATCAGGGCCCAGCGGGCCTACCGAAGCACGATCACGAGGATGATTATAGCGGCACTTGGCACCGTATCCACATACCCCAGTTCGCATGTAGTAGGCGCATTCCAGCATTCCAGGCCTCTCCGGATACGCTTCTCCGTCCCACAAACCCAACCTGCCCGTCGATTCTGCATTGTTACCAAAGAAAACAATCATAAAGACCGTTATGCATTGTCAAAAACCCTACACACCCCGCAATGCACATCACGAAAACAACAGAAAAGAACCCAAAATTGAAGTACTCGAAAGGAAAAAAGAACCTGTCAGACCTGCTTCTCGAGCCGCCGGAGCCCATTCCCTACTCCGATTCTGCTGCAATCCTTTTCTTGCGTTGCTCCGTCCGTACAACTCCATTATGTTCCCTTTGCTTACCTATGGGAGAGCTTTCAGGAATCAAGGGGCAAAAGAGGGAAAATGGTGACGAGAATAGGTTTAAGCTGAATTATTAGGCGTATATATGCGAAAGACACGCCGTTGTTTGTCGTTGGAATGATCGGAAAGCTTGCTTGATCGGGTCGCCTGAGTACGAGGAGGGGAGAGGGCTACAACAGATTCTCGGACCCAAGAAACAACTTAAAATAGCGGACGAAGAAGAAGGGGATTTGCTTTCCTTCTGCTACAGTAAGATGAGAGACAAGTGCAGTGGGCGAGAATTTTTTTTGGTTCGCGGTTTTGGCATCCTCTTTCTCTCTCTCTCTCTGTATCTAAAGTTGTCCGTACGGTCTATCTTACGACTTAAGACTAATAGTGCAGTACTCTCATTTATCTCTCTTGTGTTTTCCTGCCACTCGACGTCTACTTGACTCAAAATACTTTAGACTCAAACTTCCAATTTCTTCGAAGTAGAGCTTAGGTTTCGAGATCGATTTTATTGTGTATTATTTAAATTTGAGCTCAAACTCGTGCTCGTCGAACTTGATCGAGCTTAATTTGAGTTCAGTTGAATTTAATCGAACCTAAATGATTTTAAGAAATATAAATATAAATTTTATATAATTTTAAACAAAAGTATAAAATTAAATATTTTATATTAATAAATAAGTAATTTAAAATATAAATTGAGATCAATTAAATTCAACAAACTTTTGAATCTCGTATATTAAGCTTAAATTTGACTTATCAAGTAACTGAAATTGTTCGAACTCGATTAACATGAGTTTAAACTCAAATTTTGACCAAATAAATTTGCAAGTCACGAACTACTCGATTAAATTCGACTTGTTTGCGTCCCTGCTTTTGTGAAGGAGTCTCTCATTTTTATTTTGTTTGGATTTTGAAACTTTTCTTTCTGTACGCATTTGTCATCTTTTTAACTTCTTCTTGTACCCCTAACCTGTAAAATTAACTACGGCTGAGATTATTTATATTTTACTCACATATAAAATTAATTAACAAGTTTTAAGGATTATTTGTGAATTAACAAGTTACACATCTTCCTATTTTTTTTAGGCGCCTTATGTTTAAAAATGAAATGACGTTAATGATTAGCCATAATTAAAAGTAATAATCAAATAGCTAAATACCATACCCCAAAAAAAAAATTACTATACGATGAGGGGTTTTCACCGAATATTCATTAATATATTTAAATTATATTCAACCTGTCACGTGACTATAAACGAATTGACGAGACAAACACTATTACAAAAAATTCTTTACAAGACATTTATCGGGGTGAATAAAAGATTTTCATCGAAATATTTCTAGAAATAATCATCGTACATTTAATTATTTGCATACACAAGCGTATGAGGTTTTTTTTTTCCCCCTTTTGAAGGAAACAAGTGTATGAGGTTAGACAGCTAAACGTTACAGTTGGGGTAAGAATCCTCAGATCAGGCCGCAGGAGCGTATGGGGCATCAGGACTGGGGTGTTGGGTCTCTCTCTCTCTCCCGTATAGTACTGCTGGAAAAGAGCAGGGAGGGCACTTTGAGTGTGCTTGGTTGTTTGGTTGCGTAACCCGCCAAAACGTGAAAATAGTTAGCATTGAATATAATATACGAAACCTCTTAAACGGTTTAAACTGCTGCTTTTTGACATTAATCGGTAACCGACATATCTCCTCCTTAATTTACTCGTTTACCCTTCTTTACCTAACTGGTCTAGGCTAAAGTTCTTGCGTTTAAATATTGTACTCGAAATCAGTCGATTAGATTGTAAAATTTAAGGTTGCGTTTGTATGAAACTGTCTATGTATATAACCGACACACACATCAAACTTGCTCGTTCTGTTCTCCAAAGACGACCATATGGTACGAAGGGTCCTAAATGACACGAATTGAGTCGATTTTTAATTTAATCAATTTCAAATTCAACGAGCTTTTAATATAAAATTTGAATTTGACTTCGAACTCGAATTTAAGCTTAAGTTTGAATTCAGGCTTACTTGAGTTTAAAAAATAAAAAATAATTATTTTATTTTTAAAAATAAATAAAATATTCATTTTTCTTAATAAAAATAGTAGAAATACATATATATATATATATATATATATATATATATATAATTAAGCCAACTGACGAGCAAATGAATTGAGCTTTTCTATACTCAATTTAAGTTCGACAACTCGATTTAGTCGATTCGAAGTTTGAATCGATTTTAATGTTGATCGAACTTGAATCATGTTTTGATCGAACATGACAAGAAACTTGATTTATTTAAAACCCTGATTATATTCAATCTTTATGTCCTAACGCTTACTAAAACGTTGGGACATTGGACACATCCCAACGCTTTCCATTGTAGAGAAAACCTTGTGCCGACGGCATAGGGACGCATTGTAGGAAGAGTGGGAAATTTTGGAACACACTACTGTCCAGCAAAATTTTAAAATTTTAAGGAAGTTTATGAATTTATTCCCCGCTATAGACTATGAACTAAACGTGGTAACACAGTAACACTAGTTATCAATGTTTGGAACTGGAAGAACGATAGTGATAAAATAAAAAAAAATCAAAAAGAGCAAAAAAAAGATAAAAATACCAAAGAAGTGAATAAACGAATGTTGAACATACATTAAGGTCCTATTTGCATTGCACCTTTTAGGAGCTGTTGGGAGATTTTGTGATGTACGCATGATACAAAATCGATTAAGAAACGTATATAAAGAATATTTGAAAATTTTCATCCAAAAAACTCACAATCCATATTAGGAAATTTATCAATATTTTCCCTTTTTTACTTTCTCTTCCCTTTTTAAGGATCACGTGATATGGCTTCTGAGTCGATAATTGCGTTCGTAATTAAATTATCTAGATATTTAACAAAAAAAAAAAGATGAATCGTATAAATCACTGGAGACTTTGAAGACACGGTATAAATTCAGACAATTGGATATGAGGAAGTATAATATTAAGAATAAGTTAGTACGTGCTATACAGAAATTCACAGTTTTAAGGATAGGTTAATCTTTTTTACACTTGAAATAAATCCTTCCCATGCTTACGATGTGAACAGGCCAGCGCAGGTTGATGATATAGTCTTGGTTTCTCGCTAATGGCGTCTAAACATTTTGTACCATTGCTTCCTTTTCTTTTTTTTTTTTTTTGGACGCAGGGGATATCTGGGCCTTCAGCTCGACTAATCCTCATGCGACTTGAGAGGAGAGGACCCATCCTTCGAAGACGTTAATCTTGGGGCTCAAATTCTGATAGGAGAGATGAACAATGCTTCTTGAAGAGGGTACATGACCAATCGAGCTACCCAGAAGGGACTTGTACTATTGCTTCTCATCCCGTGTGTTGTGTTTTTAATACGCTCATCTAAAGTAGGGTTATAAACGAATCGAGCCGTTCGCGAGCGGCTCGAGTCAAGCTCGAGCTCGAACTCGAGTTCAGAATATTAAGCTCGTAAGGCTCGCGAGCTTGAGTATATATATATATATTTTTTAAAAAATTTTTATTTAATAATAAAATTACGTATATTATATATTTTTTTATTTTTATTTTTATTTTCATAGTAAAATTATGTATATATCCTTAATATTTTATTATTTATTAAGAAAAAATTTTATTTTATTTATTTATTTTAAAATAAAAATAATTATTTTTTATTTTTTTCGAGCTCGAGCTCGGCTCGACTTGATTTGAGTCGAGCTCGAGCTTGAAAATTGCCGGCTCGTCAAGCTCGAGTTTGATAAAATTTAGTCTAGACTCGACTCGATTAGCTTAAAACTCGACTCGACTAGACTCGTTTGCAGCCCTAATCTAAAGACATAAAAATTGACCACAAAAAGCCAAAAAAGGGAAAAAAAAAAAAGAAAAGAACCCAAAGGCATAAAAAGCTAATGCGGAACATTGTAAATTTGTGGTGGGGTTAAAATGAAATGGACAGGACGGGAATATCAAAGCCTTCAGGCAAAGTTTGCCCAAACATTTGCAATTGTAACGTGGCAACCGCAAGGACACGAGCTTATGTGCATTATTTTTCTGAATTCTTTTGCGAGCCTTATTTATTGCTTTACTAACTTTTTTTATTTGAAAATCTAATTAGGGGAGAAAAAAAGGAAAAGAAAAAACAGAGTTCAGTTTTACAGTCCCAAATTCAATCCTGGTCCCTGGAGCTGGCATCGGTGGGCAATTTGTTTTAGCGTTATCTTTATCCGTTCTTTGCTCGCTCCATCGCTCGATTCCCACTCTTTTGCAACCTCCAGTTGGGGCTGGAGATTGGAGACTGGAAACTAGAGACATGAACATCTTGGCAACTGGCTTCACTGCCCGAATCTCCCCCACATGTTCGACGAAAGTCCCAGTACGACGCCTTTGCTTCGGCAGCGCGTCAACAACGAGGCCGGCTTTTCTCAAATTCTCACTAAACAACGGCAAAGCAACTCTTCCAAGAAGAATCGTATGCATGGCGGTTCGTTAGCACTTCATCTTATTTTCTTTGTTCTTAAAATTCAAAGCACGTGATTGCCCCAGAAAAGCAAAAAAAGATAGAAAGATAACGGTAATCAAAGCAAAGACATGGAGAAGAACCGAGATAGAAAGATTATAGTAATCAAAGTAAAGAAATGGAGAAGAACCCACGCCAGTTAATCTTCAAATGTCATATTTAAGGTTCTTGTTAATATTCCAGCAAATAGAACACGATTGGATAAGTTGAATATTGTTTTGATGCGTCCTCTTCGTTGTTGTAGCTTATGACGGGATAAAATGCAGGAACCTTATCTAATCACAAAACTGGAATCCGCTGAGAAGACATGGCAAGAATTGTCGGTATGCATTTCATTCATGCATAGTCACGGGGATTTTTTTCACCTCAATCCTTCATGATTCAGATTATAAATATCCTGTCAAGTGCCGAGGTTTCATTTGGAATCTAAACTGCAGGTTAGGCTGGCTGATCCAGATGTAGTCTCAAATCCAAGTGAATATCAAAAGCTGGCACAATCTGTTGCAGAGCTTGATGAGGTGCTGCATGTCCTCTGTTTATTAATTAGCTCATTTTATCTTGATGACTTTTTTATGTGGTGTAAATTGCCATGGTTTTGCTTCATTAATGATGCTTTCTGCACTAATGAACTAGTAGGTTGTGCTCACCTACAGAAGATTTAAGACTTGCGAGAAGCAGTTAGAAGAAACAAAAGGTTTTCTTTAACTTGCTCAATCTTCGCATACAATTCCTAAAGTTTGTAACTGTTTTTGTATGTGTTATCCCTTAACCAAAATTTATTTCCTTTGCTCCTCAATGTCAGCTTTGGCAAAAGAAGAAGGTGCTGACGAAGACATGGCAGAGATGATATCTTCTGAAATCGCAACTTTAACCGCTCAAATCAAAGATCTTGAGGAGAGGCTTAAGGTCATATGAGATATCAATTTTTAACTTTTTGGACCTTGTTTTGTCACTAGATTGGTTTGTAAAGACTGTATATCTTGCCATGCCATGATAGGTACTACTGCTTCCTACTGACCCTCTTGATTCAAGAAATATAATGCTTGAAGGTAATATATTCACACCTTTTATTCTGTGCTATGTAGTGTTTGGATTAATTAACGGTGGTCATTCACATAGCTGCATTGTGGTTCAAGATTCATGCACATTTGTTGGAGCTGCATCATTTTCAGTTAGCCTAAATTGAGACTATGAATTGATAGGAAGTGAAACTAATTATTCGATAAATAAAAGTTTAAGAGGAGGGTATGGTCGGTTTCTTTTTGGTCTGCATTGAATGAAACAAAAATGTTCTGTGCTCCATGTGGTGTTTTCCTTAGCAATTATTTAGTTTTAGACAATTCTTCAAAATTTTTAGTTTTTAATCACAAGCACTTCTTTAGATTGATTTCATTATTTGCAGTGAGGGCTGGTACTGGTGGCGATGAAGCTGGAATTTGGGCTGGTGATCTTGTAGGTACATGCTTCTCTGTCCTTTGAGTACTTGTCAGCCTGTAGGATGACATGAACATTATTTTGCATATGTTGGTTATGCAATTTTTTCACCTACATTTCAAGTCAAACTCGGTATGCACAGCTATCAGGATTTAGTTCCTCATAATGGAGAAACTCTTTTTTGTTGGCACGCACTTGAGTGAACTTATATTCAGAATAAGCTCATTCTTTGAACCCTAGTTTTCTTTCATCCTTTTTGTGTATTTAAATCTTTTCTGTGTAGCTACCTTTTGGCTCTTGGTCTTTCATCATTGGAAACACAATGAAATAGATAATATTTGTTATGATGGGATGCTATCCTTCACTTTGTCATGCTTTTTGAGTGTTGGTTGTTATTCGCTTCTTGTGGGCAATGCTACAAAGAGAAGAAGTAAGTTAGTGAACTTGCCTGAGATCTGCTTATACTTCCGTTTTCTTGGATTTCCCTATTGGAAGGCTCGAAAAAATAATAATTATCAAGACAGTTTCCTCAATGCTGATTCCAGTTACAGCTAAGCTGCTGATTACTGGTTACATCTACTTGCTGTTTTTGTTCTTTGTTGTTAGCGGTAACTATTAGACACCTTGTAGGTACGCATGTATCAGAAGTACAGTGAAAGGAATTCATGGAAAGTCTCACCAGTTTCAAGCTCTGAGGTAAATAACTACTTAATTATATGAATAGTCTTTCTATTCTGGTTGGACTAATGGAATTAATTTCCAGGCTGAAAAAGGTGGATTTAAGACATATGTTATGGAAATCAAAGGAAATCGTGTATATAGCAAATTGAAATATGAGTCTGGTGTCCATCGAGTACAACGTGTTCCTCAAACAGAAGCACAAGGCCGTGTTCACACGTCCACTGCAACTGTTGCTATCATGCCAGAGGTAAGTCTATTCTGTGTCTGGGATACATCTTTATCTTCTATTCAGCTCAATTATTTGGGTATCAATTTTTTTTCTTTTATGAATAAATAAGTTACTTGAGATTAATTAAGACGTATATGAGATTCTTCTGTGTCAGAGAAATCAGTGGGAACTTCAAAGAATCACATGGTGCTGTCCTTGACTAAAATTTAAAATACTGGATTATTCTCAAATGGCATTGACCTCATCAGGCTGCTCTTTTGTGTTGAAGTTAATTGTGTGCTTAGGATGTCATTGTTCTTGTGTAACATTAATTGATGACTTTATATCGATACAAAGAATGCATTAGTCAGTGGTTGTTGTTCATTTCTCAAGGATGATAACTGGTACAACAATAAGCTTAGACGTTTTCACGTGGGAGGTCACATGATTGGTACACAAAACAAGCTCTCTACTTGTGCAAATACTGTCGGGAGTCTCTTACACTAGTTTAACCTGAGCATTCATCTGTAAGTTACTCTGAGTAGCAGTGTAATTTCTGGGACTAGGTTGCCATTTTCCTATAAGATTTCTCTATATCATAGAATGACGTCACATGGTAGGTTGGGTAGATATTTATGTTTCCTACTTAAATGCAGCTGTGGTTTTCTTACTAAGTTCTGCTGTCGTGCTGTTTCTTCTATGACATCTCTGTTTCCTTGGCATCCTGGTTCTAGGCTGATGAAGTTGAGGTGGAGATTGATCCAAAGGATATTGAGCTCACAACTGCACGTTCTGGTGGTGCTGGAGGTACAGATGAGTGAAATATCTTGTCTTTAGATTTTTAAGATTCTTGGGTTTTCTTAAGGACTGAACCAATTCTTGATGATTTCTCATGCATACAGGGCAGAATGTCAACAAGGTAGAGACAGCAATTGATCTTTTCCATAAGCCTACAGGAATAAGGATTTTTTGCACAGAGGAGAGAACTCAGCTTCAGAACAAGAGTCGTGCTCTTCAATTGTTGCGAGCAAAATTGTAAGGGAAATTGCAATTTTTTTTTAACCTGGATCTAACGTAACCTTTGCTGATATCACTCTAAGCACAATTATAGTTATCTGAATTTGACTTGAAAAAATTTGATTGTTTTATGATATGAACTATGCTAGGTGAGTGTTAAGTTTATGAAAAGCATTTAAATTTCTTAATATGCAGCTGGAATATAAGCTACAATGGAAATTGACATATATCAACTTTTGATAAATGGTTGCACATGCCAACATTTGTAGTTTTGAATCTCAAGCATTAGCTCTTGTTTGGTACCTAGTCTTCAACGTTGATGTTTAGTGGTTTGTTCATTATGACTCAACTAAAATTCCATTTCCCCTGGTCTTTGACAATATCACCCTGTAGAATTTAGATTCGCAATCTTAGTAATTAAAACTAGTGTCTTAAAAGTTAGGCTTTTTGTGATGGATTCCAATCTACTGTATTCTTTCAGGTATGAAATAAAAGTGAGAGAGCAGCAAGAGTCTATAAGGAATCAGAGGAAGTCACAGGTCTGACATTTTGCTTGGGAATTTTGTTGCATCGTCATAGGTTATTGAAGTTAAAGTGATAGCATGAATATGCTGCTCTTAATAAATGTTTACTTCTTCCTCGCATTCTCCAATCTTATTTATATATTATTTACAGTTTCATCCATGTTTCTGATGCAATAGTTCAGTTCTTTTTATGCTTGTATCTTAACCTCTACTAGTCATTAGGATTTTGTTATTTTTTGCAAGTAAATAGATGTGATTGCTCATCTTCTTGGAAGTAACCATGATGATAGCTCTAATAATTGCGGGAATATAAGTAAATTTAGTTTTTGGTGACATCTCTTGCGGATCTAATCCTTCTTAGAAAGGGCTAGAGGTTACACCCCGTCATTCTATGTTTATACATGGAAGGTGTTGATTTGCTATTTTAGACGGAGAGGTGTGAATTTAACCCCTCCCAATATTCTTAATCCCCAAGTTGAAACTTGCAGTTAGTTTGTTCTTCACTTAAAAGAAAAAGTAACAATAAATCGTCCTTCCGTTGATCTACTTCTTATGGGATTTGTGATGCGTACAAAATGCAGGTTGGAACCGGTGCACGTGCTGAGAAGATCCGAACATACAACTATAAGGTAGCTGTCTGACTTTTCTGCAGTATTATTCAGAGTACCTAGATTGTAAATGGAGAGTTAGCAAGAATGCAACTTTTGACTCTAAAAGTCAACATTGTTGCTCAATACAAAAAGGCGACTTGCGAGAATCATGGAATCTCCACATTCTCTTCGTCTTTCAAAGATAGTGAGATGCATCTAATTTATTACCTTTTAACCATTGTTGTTTACTGAGGAGCTTGTTAATTGGTTCTCCATCAAATTAAACAATTACGACAGTCTACTGATGATTGATAGATACTTCTGCATTTAGGACAATAGGGTTACTGATCATCGGTTGAAAATGAACTTTGAGCTCACATCGTTTCTCAGCGGTGACGTCGAAGCTGCTGTTCAGGTAAACTCTTAACTCCGAGAAAATAGATTGATGGGAAAATTAAAGTTTCTGCTGGCACACTTGGTTTATGATCTTTTCGGTGCATGTTGAACTAATTTTCCTTCTTGATGCGCTCTTCAGTCGTGTGCTGCCATGGAACAGAAGGAGTTACTGCAAGAACTAGCCTTGTCTGTTGGGGCACTAGCTAGTTAAATCGTTCTTTCAACTCATGTAAAAAGTAGAATGCTACTGGATACGGCAGTGACACCCAGACGATACGCAAGAGGTGCCCTCAAATTGCCATTAAAGTTTAAAATTAGTTTGTTAGATTCATACGAAACTTTAACGAGTTGCTTTGTAATCAGTTCTATTCTGTTATTACGTGTATGGACAGGTCCTCTTTTTTTCCTTTTTTTTTTTTTTAATAGACAGAGTCTCGTCTGAGTTTGCGCGTTTCTGGGAATTCGGTAATTTCGACGCTGCATTGATGATGATGAATGAATTAAGTTCTGGCTAAGACGGGAAAGGTACTATTCTGCGTGCACCTCCACCGCGGAGGGTTGATAGTTCAGGGTTGAGGAAAAGAGATTTACGGGTTATTACACAGAGTATTGCTATTTTTTTTTTCAAAATTAAGAAAACCGAAAAAAGGATAAATTGAGTGGCACGGGGGAGGAGAGAATATTATTCATAGGTCTTGAGCTTACACTTATAAATAAAATAACTCCTGGTTTCACATTAAAAGAAGAAGCACCCCCGATTATTGAAGTGCTCTATGGGGATTTTGTTTATTGTATTGGATTAATGTGTAATTTAAAATATATTTTTTATTCCTTTTTTGAGTTATAATATGGGATAAAATAATTAAATTTTATTTTTTATTTTTTAAAATACAAAAGTTTCATCAAATTTGAATTTTTACTAAAAATGTTGCTCTAGTATTGTTCACCAAACATTACCACATTTCAAAAGTGCAAAGCCGAACATCTTGAAAGTAAAAGTATTTCGTTTCCAAACATCTTAAAAGTACGGGTGTTGCGCTTCCAAACGTGCATTCTGAATTCCGTTCCTGGATGACTTCATCTCTTCTCTCGACTCATGCTCCCTCCTTCCTTTTCTTATTTTTCTCCACCTCCTTTAACAATTAACACCAATGAAAGTATTGGTAATGTTATCTTGATTCTGAATTTAAGACGGCAAAATATTAGGTGAAATAAACCAGGGATTAACCGTCGGTGTGACAAGTAGGGAGTAGTAGTATTTACTATTTATATAATAGTGAAGTCAAAAACTTTGTAAGGGTGGCTCCAACGGCATTAAATAGAGCGTGTAATACGCTGAGTTCCATTATATGCATCATAAATGTGATGCGTGTAATACTCTGTTGATGGGGCTAACTATGGGTCTTTTTTTTTTATATATATATATATATCAAACCAATTGGACCATTGTTTGATGATCGTTGCTCATTTTTGTTTCTTTTCATTAAAATAAAATTGTATCGTTACATGAAATCCTAAATTTTTTCTATAAATAAGGAAATTTGTTTTTTCATTTCTCACCCTCATATTTTTTTCATTTTACATACTCTATTACTCATTTCCTTCAACCACTTATACAATTCCTCAAAGTGCTCTTATTTTCTAATTATGCATGAGAAATTTAATAATTTTAGGAATATGTTTAATGCTCCAAGAGATCCAAAGATGATCAAGTTTAAGCAAATGCAAGAAGCTGCAAGAAAAGAGATCGAGCGAGCATTTGGAGTGCTTCAATCTCGTTGGGCTATTGTATGTGGGCCAACTCGGTTATGGCATAGAGCGAAACTAAGAGATATAATATATATGAATGCATCATATTACAAAATATGGTTGTTGAGGATAAAGGAGATGTAATAAGAAATCGGGATGAAGATGATGAAGATCCAACAATCCATATGACTCCAAGTTCTGTCGAAAATTTTCAATATTACCTTCAAAGAAACGCGGAACCATGGGATCATAAAGTGCATCATTAGTTTTGATCGGACTTGATCGAGCATATTTGGAAACGATTTAGAGGCATTAACAATGAAAATTAGTGTTCATTATGTTATTATTTGCAGTTTATTGATTTAATTATGTAATAGTATGTCACAGAGTTAAATTAATTCGATAGAGTATTATTAATTAAGTATAAATTATTATGATGTCTTCACATTTAAGGTGTCACGTATTTGTTTAATAAATACATTCCAATATTAATATTTTTGAGGGATAGAAAAATAATTATTATTGAAAATCACAAATTAATAATATTAGTTTTTAGAAAATAAAATTTTGAAGGGTAAAAAATTTAATGAAAGTTAATAATTTATTTTTCAAAAAAATACGATTGTTTTAAAAAGTTAATCTTATTTATTTATAAGAGATTAGAGATGTGAATTATAAAAATAATGTTTGATTTGATTATATGGTCATATTATTACACTGTCTTGAGTATAATTTATTATGAGTAAAAGTATAATAAAAATAGAAATAGTAAAATACTGACGTGTTATGGATAGTATAGTACGGAAAGCCACCGTGCCACGTGCCAACTCATTGCTTCATCCCAACATCATTACCAAACTCTCTCACTTGTCAGCGTGCTGATCATCCTGGCTTACGAGCCCTCCGCATGAAAGGTATCTTTTCTTCGATGGTAGGACTATCTATACATATGTATACATATGGCAACTTCTCATCCTTTCCAAGCTTCTCTGTGTCCAACGCTCCGGACTCGTATGAATACTAGAATCATCATCGCCATCAGCACCCCGTTTTCTATCACCGCTTCCATTTCCAATTTTATGCTCAAAAAGCAGCTTTCCTCCTCTGCTTCCCATTTTCTCTCCCACAACACTCGTTCTAGTAGTTCTATCAAATCAGCCAAACTACTCTCCCACACATATAGGACCCTTAATCCCAAATTTTCTTCCCCTTCTCGGCCTTTACCAATCCCATCTCATCGTCGTCGCTTACACTCTTTCAGAATTTTGGCTATGGCAGAGCAGTCCTCCCAGACAACGTCGACGTCGCAGCAGCAATCCCACAGACACGCCAATCGTCTTGCTGCTGAACACAGCCCTTACCTTCTTCAACACGCCCATAACCCGGTATTCTTGTCAATCACTGAATACATATTTTGCCCTTTTATCATGTTCTCTAAATTAACTTTTACCTAATTTAGCTCATTTTTCTCCTTTATGGTACGGGTTTAAAAAACTCGTAAGTAATACTTCTTTTCCAACTTCTGGGCTCTTCTGAGGGGGGGAAAAAAGAAAAAGAAAAGGGTTTAATTATATGTTATTATTTCTTACTCTAATTACTATATATGAAGGTTGATTGGTATCCATGGGGTGAAGAGGCATTTGCTGAAGCTCGAAAGAGGGACGTGCCCATCTTCTTATCAAGTTATTTCCATTTTCTTTGCACTTCTCCCCACACCCACCCCCTGCCCCCCAAAAAAAAAAATCCTTTTTCTCTCCAAAATTCGTGCTGTTTTTACCTTGAGCGCCCGAATAATGATCATTGCATTTTATTTCTGGTGTTTTCTCGTGGACTATTGGGGTTGCTTTTATGCTTGAAGTCGGGTACAGCACTTGCCACTGGTAAGCCTGTTGGGTGGAACCCTGCAAGTCTTGGACTTCCTTTATTACTCATGGATGGGTAAGATTTGATGACGAATTTTGATTGACTAGGTGTCATGTGATGGAGGTTGAATCCTTTGAGGACGAGGGGGTTGCAGAACTGCTGAATGATTGGTTTGTCAGTATAAAGGTAAGAATGTAATTTTAGTTACTCGTGCCTGTATCAGTGAGGAATATATTTATTTGTAACACCATATCTGTAAGCCTTCCATATCTCCACTGCAGCTTAAAACATGATGATTACTTTTTTGGCAGGTTGATCGAGAAGAGCGTCCAGATGTTGACAAGGTAAGAATTGCATGAGAATGACACGATATTGTTGTTTCAATTTATTTTGGGTATGACTTTAGTTAGTCTGGTTGGACTATCCTATTCATCACGGTCCTATTTGCCAGTGGTTATCTAATGATTTTGGATAACGTCAGAGTATGTTCAGGGAAAGGTTGTGGATAAGCTGTCACTTTAACCTCGCAGGGAAGAAGCTAACAGCTCAAACACTACCTAAAATGATGAGCTAATTGTGGTACAAATATATTTTTCTTCGATGGATTGGTCATATTCACTTCAAGAAACTGAATCAGATGATTTATCATTTCATTTTGCAGCTGCAATTTGCAAAATCGTACTTGTCCTTAATTTTGACTTATAGCATGCAAAATCTCTTTTCTCTGGGGAAATCTTAGCTTGAGTTTTACTGATTTCTTATTTGAGGGCCTTAATCCTGGCCGAAAATACTCTGCTTTCTCTCCCCTTTACTTGCTTCTCTGTTGATGGTGATTCCTTTTTAGATAGTAAGAACATGCAGTTGTGTTTTCAGGTATACATGACATACATCCAGGCTTTACACGGGGGTGGTGGTTGGCCGCTGTCTGTCTTTCTTTCTCCTGATCTGAAGCCTTTGATGGGTGGGACTTACTTCCCTCCTGAAGATAAATATGGAAGACCAGGATTCAAAACCATACTAAGGTGAGAACAGTACCAGAGGATAATTCTGGTGTCTCAATTAATTTTAGTTTGGTATTTGCAGAGGGATTAAGCACCCAGATCTCTACTCCCCCGCTAAAAAACTTTGCTTTCAGAATGCCTTGACCACCATAGGTAAATCAAACACAGCTCAGTGGTCAAACATTGTTATCTGTCTTTGTCTCTCCTTGTAGAATCAGGGTATCATTCTCTTCCCACTTCCCCCAAATCCTTCTCCCATGGGCCCACCGCTTCTGGGGAAATAAGAAACAATATTAGTTTTGGTTCTGATTTATGTACGTTAGGTTGAATGGGGTGTTGAGGAATGTCTGGTAAAAGGTGTAGTAAGATAAAACAAAGTTGCTTAACCTTGTATTTCTGTTACTCGATCATAATTGTTTCAGAAAGGTTAAAGAAGCTTGGGACAAGAAAAAGGACATGCTTGTCAGCAGTGGAGCATTTGCAATGGAACAACTTGCTGAAGCATTGACAGCCACTGCAGGGTCGAATAAACTACCAGATGGGCTTCCTCAGACGGCATTGAACCTATGTGCTGAACAGGTACTTTTTGGAGCGGAGAAATTGCTTGTATTGTGCATTGTATTAATGGGTTCATGTGCGGCTCATTGGTTCAGATTTTTACACAATGAAAAGTTAGGGCGGCATTTCTTCTCAGATTTAAGATCGAAGTTACCCCTTATGATATTCGAACTGTCTATATGGGTAATTACAAGGGTATATCACAGCATTGGTATACATTTTTTTGTTAAATACCTTGGACTTCTTGAGAAAAATTTTGTACTGGATTCATCGATTTCTCACTTCACTTA